GGGTTATAGGCATGAGCCATTTGTTCTCTGCCCTGAATATCTTGCCCTGGTCTCCTACTTTCTTAGACTCACAACTAGTCAGGGTTTTGATTTAGAAAGAGGTATTTTCCCCTCATTTGGGTCAGTTATTTTCATGGATAGACAGCCCTCATGTTTTGAGAGTTACACAGACCTAAGGAGAACTGGGTCTTCATCTTATTTAGACTATTCTAATAATAAGACTAAATGTATTTGTATAATAAAAAACAAAGATACTTTTTTTTGTGTGTGTGTGTGCCTGGAATTGAACCCAGGACCTTTACACATGCTAAGCATGTACTCTCCCATTGAGCTGTACCTCAATTCCAAGTGGGTTTTTTTTTTTAATGTGGTCTCAAACTCCTGAGTGCAAACCTACGCACAAATGATCCTCCTCAGCCTGTAGCTGGGAGGACAGATGTACAACACCAGGATCATCTTTAAGAATAGTTTAAAATATATATAAAAGTATGCATGTACATTAGATAATCATGCATAGGCTAAGGAGGTAGACCTGGACTCCAGATGTCCATTTGGTGGGCCTGACCTTCCATGGACTGTTTTAGAACACTTACTGTTGTTGTGTAGGGCTGTACTCTGTCCTCAAATGCCTGTTAACCACACCCTGTCTGTGGGAGGGAATGGGGAGCTGTGACGCTTAGCATAGCTAGGACTACAGCTTCAGATTTCCCAGCCCCCTCCTTGTGTAGGAGATGCAATTCTATCAGGAGGTACGTGTATTATTCAGGATTAGTTTGGATTTCATGTAACAGGAAACCTAAGGCAACATAACTGAAACACTGAAGTTTATTCCTCTCATACATTAAATTAGGGAAGCTAGAAGGACAGCTTCAAAAATGCATCAGCAATCCAAGTTCCTTCCTTCTCTTTTACATCTCTGCTGTCCTCAGCATGACTTTTAGCCATGACCTAAGGTGGCTACTCAAACTCCTGATGTCGTGTCTTCCTTAGGAAACGTAAAGAAAAACATTCCTCCTTCAGAGGTGCTTGCTTGTGTGAATGAGTGTGTGCATGTGTGTGTGTGTGTGTGTGTGTGAAAGAGAGATAGAGAGAGAGAGAGAATCATGAGGCTTGAATCTGGGTGCTGTCCCTGAGTTTTTGTGCTCAAGGATAGCATTCTACCCCTTTGAGCCACAGCTCCACTCCACTTCCAGCTTTTTTGGTGCTTAAATGGAGACAAGAATCTCACGGACTTTCCTGTCCAGGCTGGCTTTGAATCATGATCCTTGGATCTCAGCCTCCTGAGTGGCTAGGATTACAGGTATGAGCCACCAGCACCCTGTACAGAGGGGTTACAATTACTTGAGCAAGGTAATGAGTACATTTCTTATCAAGCATTGTTGCCTCCTCCTTTGTTTCCCCTTCCCATCCCTTCTCATCTCCCCCTCTCCCCCCCTCCCTGACTCCCCCACCCACAGAAGTGCTTCTTGAAGTCTTATATGAAACATCTGTTTACAATCCCCTTGGGTGGGGTTGGTTAGTGTTAGTTTCTTTGCCATAACTACTTGTGAGGGAAGCTGGGGAGTTGTTTTAGTCATGACTTCAGTTAAAATTCCTATGAAGGAAGAAAAGAGAGAGTAAACACTGGAAGATGATTTGCAAGTCTCTGCCACAGAGAGTGTTTGTGGATCTATTTCTGTTTAGAGGTTGTGTTTGGATCTTCTATTAGAGTATACTTTCTTGGCAACAAGTTGAATAACCAGAACTTGAGGAATCAAGCTGGTAGTGTACTTGAAGTCCTCAGTTTGATTTTGCAAAATCTCTCTCTCTCTCTCTCTCTCTCTCTCTCTCTCTGTGTCTCTCTCTCTCACACACACACACCAATAAGCAAACAAGTAAATAACCACAAAAACAGCAAGCTCCCAGACGTGCTTGGAGACCCTCATAGAAGATGAAATGCAATCAGGAGAAGAAGGAAGGCTTAGGATATGAACTGTAACTGTGAAATCTGAGCATCTGGCCTCAAGGTTTGGCTCTGCTATCTTAGTTTGTGCTCTGATAAAGTTTGGGGAGCTAAATGGCTAAGTTTTGGCTGGCATGGAGGGTTATGGCTCAGGTGGTGAGATTTTATTTTTCCTTTTTGTACACACACACACACACACACACACACACACACACATTATAAAGGTGATGTACAGAGGGGTTCCAGTTACCTAAGTGAGGACCTTTTATTTCATAGAGTCTGGGAAATAGCCCAGGGACTTGGCATCTGCTTGGCAGACTATGTTCTCTGGCAGGACTGAGAATAGGATGAGGTAACTTATGTGCCTGGGGCTGATCTTAAAGGATATACTCACTCTCAAGTTCCTGGACTTGGTCCACTAGAGTGAGTGCTCCTTACGCTATGTACCCTAGACACCTGCTTCTTTTCACACTGCTCCTGGCCCTAGCAACACATCTTGGCTAATTAACTACTTTCATGAATAAAGAAGCATAATGTACATGGTAAATAAGTAAAAGTATAAAGATGAGTAAGTAGCCGAGTGCTGGTGGCTCATGCCTATAATCCTAGCTACTCAGGAGGCTGAGATCTAGAGGACTGAGGTTCAAAGCCAGCCCGAGCAGGAAAGTTCTGTGAGATTCTTATCTCAGTTAATCTTCAGAAAACTAGAAGTGGAACTGTGGCTCAAAGTGATAGAGTGCTAGCTTTGAGCAAAAGAGCTCAAGGACGGTGCCCAGGCCCTGATTTCAAGCCCTATGACCGACCAAAGGGAAAGAAAAAAGACAAATAAGTGAAAATATAAAGAGTGTACTGTGGAAAAAATTTCCTAGCACTTGATAAGATCCTTCCTTCCTTCCTTCCTTCCTTCCTTCCTTCCTTCCTTCCTTCCTTCCTTCCTTCCTTCTTTCCTTTCCTTTCCTTTCCTTTCCTTTCCTTTCC